ATATTGGAAATATTTGGTTAAATATTAGTCACTGCTAGTTTTAAATTAGTTTTGATGTGTCTGTTAGCTGGTTTCTTGTTTTAATTTTTACTAAATTCATTGCGGAAAACTATTCACATAAATAAGTTGTAGAAAATAATGTTCAAATTTTTGCTGCATACTTCCTTAATTAATTAAGCTGGGAAATTGATATATTTATTCATATTTTATGTGACACGGTCTGCACTAGATGATGATACATCATCATCTAGTGCAGGGATCAATCAGCAATTACCTATTAGAAAGTTATACCATTAAAGTATAGTATTATGTTTGGAGAACTAATGTTAAAAAGAAATTAATGAGAAATTAGCAAAAGATGTGAGAAGTTAGAAAAAGTGACATCACAGTGCTAAAGTGATATCACAGTGCTAGACTGCATTACATATAATACATGGTGGACTTTTTGTTATGTTTCATGTTATGTTCATAGTTACTTAGGTTAGTTACTTAGTTTGCTTAACTATATTGATATAAGTTTTTACTTATATCTAAGTAATAAGAAAAAGGACTTTACTATATAAAATTTTTAACTTTTATATATAAAAGCTTTACTTATATATATAAAATTCAAAATATATATGTTAGAATAAAGGCTTCTATATCGTTCAATGTATCCACACCAAATTTGGCATGAAGATTCTTTGACAGACTTTTGCTAAAAAAATATATCTCCAATGATCTAGAAAAAAATACAGTACTGTAGTATCCCCATCCCCAATCATACCTAAAGTCCACCCCCTTAACTTAAGCCCAAGTAATTTTTTGTGTCTTGCAGTTTCATTATTGTAAATACAGTAGAGCGTCGTTTATCCGAATCAATTGGGGACTGGGGTTGTTTGGATAACTTATTTTTCGGATAACCGATTATGTACGAAAAAATATATTAACCTNAAATGTTCTCGTTAATCTTATCTCGTCTTTTGATTCGTTCGCGGTTGTAAGAAATCACCACATAGTCTCTCGAGTCTCCGTAGATATAACAAACACAGAAATAAATAACACAAAATAAATTGTAGCTATGTGTCGGTTCCGCGCGACACGTCTGAACATGTAAGTTGAACAATAGTGTAGAGGGAATGAGTAATCAAGAGTTGCGTGGTGCTCAAACAAAAGACGAATCGACGAGATTTGAAAATCGCGTAACTCCGGGTTCGCGTAAGTTGGGGTAGCGTAAGTCGAGGTATCACTGTATTTTAAACAGGTCGCTGCACTACCACCGAATTTTTCATTCCTTGTTCTGTGACAAAACTGAATTTTGGTCTTTTAAATTGAAATGCCTAAATAAGGGGGCGCCGAAATTTTCCTCCGCCCCGGGCGGCTGACACCTACGCTACGCCACTGATAAAAATGTACATGTATATTTTTTTAAAAAATAAGAACAGTGATTTTTCTATAAAAACTAATAACTAAACATGATACAGTAGAGCGTCGTTTATCCGAATCAGTTGGGGACTGGGGTTGTTCGGATAACCGATTATGTACGAAAAACTATATTAACCTATCCCATGTTGAAATTTTTCTCCATTGCGTGTCGCTTCGCGTTGAATTTTCGTCGATGTTAAGCCTAATGTAAACTTTTTAAAATAATAATCGTGGTTATCGTATCGTTAAAAATTATTTCTTTATTTTTTACAAACGAAATAAATATATTGAAAAATATAAGAACAAAAAAAAATTATACTTTAGAAGTTAATCTAGTATCAAAAACGTTTGATTCGGCACGACGCACAGTCCCCAGAAAAACACCACACAAAAGTGCCAGTGCTGAAAGCTAAAACACACACATCAACAAAAAAATATTGGAGTAGCCCAAGATATATCCACAGATTGCAGCGCCACAGCGAAAATTTAAATTTGCCGACTGGAATTGTTTCGGATAACAGACTTTTGGATAAACGACTCTCTACTGTATATCAATGTTTAAATATGTAGTACATATTAATAATTACTTTCATATACTCACCGTGTTTTAAAAAATTATCCCTTGTTTTATATAATATTTAGCAGCAAAATGGAAAAAAAAATTAAAGCAATAAGTGAGCATTCCGCCATTGTCATGCCGGAACTTCAATTATTCAGTGATTTGCAATACGAAGGAAATTAAAAAATTTACAAAAGTTTTTAATATAANAAACGTTTGATTCGGCACGACGCACAGTCCCCAGAAAAACACCACACAAAAGTGCCAGTGCTGAAAGCTAAAACACACACATCAACAAAAAAAATATTGGAGTAGCCAAAGATTGCAACGCCACTGCACTAGCAAAAATTTAAATTTGCCAACTGGAATTCTTTCGGATAACCGACTTTTGGATAAACAATACTCTACTGTACTCAGGTCAGTAAATGTATTTTTTAATTACTAAGACTGTAGTTCTTATCACCTTCTATCAAGCAAACTGGGTGCACACATCTAGTCTATAATAAATTATTAAATATAAGAATAATTTAAAAAGTTCAAAAATTTTTTGCATTTATTATGAAATTATTGACAATGATTTATTAATTTGAAAAAGGTACTTCTGAAATCTACTTCTGAAATTTGAAAGGTACTTCTGGGTTCTACTTTCTAGGATTTATTATTTTCTATGTCATTCTCTAATTTTTCATATATAAAAATGAAGATAAAGATAAATTCATATTGAGAAGAAAATGAGATGATAGAGAATTGCTGTTGGACAAGATGTTTCTATTATATTGTAAATGAAATTTCCAAGCTATCTTCCTCTTCAAATTATGTGAGGTGATCGAAGGGTATACGTACAAAGCCAATAACACAGAAAAGTACTTTTATTGTGAAAATGAAAGCAAACTGGATACATTCAATACTTGTTTCTCAATGAAATTATTCAGCCTGTTCAGTCATTTATCACAATATGTAATGAATGAAATCATTCATGTCATCAAAAAATTTCCTATATCTCTTGTTGCAGCCATCCAGTGATGACAGCTTTCACTTCAGTAGCAAATCAGTGACCATATACACTGGGTGGTCAATTTATTAAGACCACCAGCAAAGCTTATGCAAATCAGCTATGATGGCATTCTATTGTCATCAGAGGACAGGATTGACATAAAAAGGGAGTGCTGAGTGATTGTACAGATAATTGTAGGGAATTTCATATGAAGATATGGGTAAAAGACATGATTTAACAGACTTTAAATGTGGAATGATTGTGGGTGCTAGAATCAGAAAAACTAGTTTGCTTGTGAAGTGTTCAAGTGGCTTTTGTTCATGTGTACAAACAGTGGACTACTAAACAAAAAAGTGGGTCTCAATGTAAAATGTGGTCATCCTCTGTTGCTAGATGCTCAGGCTGAGAGTTGCCAGACTTGTCCAGTCCAACAGAAGAGCAACAGTGCATCAGATTATAGCTGATCTTAGTCAGGGAACATCTCCTCCGATGACTTCTGAATGAACTGTTTGCCATTAAATCATCTTGGATATGGAAGACAAAGGCCTGTTCAAAAGCTTTTTTGTCTACAGCTAAGATCAAATGACTCCAGTTTGCACATGATCACAAAGATTGGACAGTAAATGACTGGAAAAAGAAGTAATGTGGTCTGATGAATCACATTTTCAACTGCACTATGTGAGAGTGCAAATATGGAGAAAACATCATAAAAGCATGGACCCTATGTGCATTGCTACACTTCAAGTTGGTGGAGGCAATGTTATAGTTTGCAGGATGTTTTCCTTGCATTGTTTGGGCCCTTTGCTTCATGTGGAATGTCTGAATGCTCAAACGTATATAAATACTGTCATTGACCAAGTAGATTCAGTTATGTTAATAGCCTACCCCACTGGAGATGGATACTTCCAACAGGACAATGCTCCATACCATAAAGCTCAAATTGTCCAAAGATGGTTTGAATGGCATGACAGAGACTTCATCTTGTTGAGGTGAGGTCTCTGTGGCCTCCACAATCACCATATTTCAATCTAATTGAGCATTTCTGGGATGAGCTCAAAAGGGGCATCAGGCAGCTGGATCCAGAACAATCTATTCTTAGTGAACTGGAAAATGCAATTTATTTGATATGATGTCAGATTCCTCCAGCCACTTAACAATCTTGTAGAGTTTATACCAAAGAGAATTGCAGCAGCATTGGCAAGCAATAGGCGGCCTAACAATGGACTGAGTAGATGGTCAAAATAAATTAGCCACTCAGTGTATATATGGATTGCCAACCACTTCCATAAAACTTGTTCTTCCATCCTCCTTTTATCAATAATGTCCTTTTGAGTATAGTTTTAATTGTTTGATTTTACTAAAATATTACTAGCAGATGACATGTCAATATTTTGTCTTATTCCAAAGTAATAGTTTTGTTTTGTCTTTACCCTTTGCTAGGGTAACAGAAGGAGAAGACATTACCATTATAGTTGGACAAACAAATAAAATGTTTAGGGACTCAATTAGGGTGGCGCACTGCAATGGTTAGCAATTATTCTAACACCAAGTTTAAAATCCTATTTAATGTCTAGTGTTTTATAATTTACAGTTAGTCAAGAAATATTTATAACAAACTCTTTTATTATATAGTCCTTCATTGTACAATCTCTGTGCAATATGCTTCCTGTTTTGTGTACAAAAGTTGGCAACCATAAGGAACATTGAGTTATGCCCTCATTCCGTGGACTTTGTTGTCGGATATTAATGCACAAGCCATTATTATTAAAATTTTTTTATGTTCTTGAAACCATGTCGGTGATTATTTTTGTCGTTTTGAATGCCTTATAGTTTAAATACACGAACACTAGGCAATCTTCATTTAAAATTAAAATAATTTAAAATGAAGATTGCCTAGTGTTCATGTATTTACACTATATGCTGTTCACAACGACAAAAATATTAAACTATTGTTTATAATTATGTATTACTTGTATGTATTTTGAAATTTACAAACACATTTAGTTTATAAAATTGATCATTTTTCTTTCCATTGAATTTTAGATATCAATTATTACAGTTCATTGATGGATATAACAATTTAACATACAATGAATTTAAACAGATATATGAAGAAATAAAATGTAAAAATTCAAATTTAAGAGAGGTAATAAAATAAAAAATATATATATAATTAAGAAAAATTTCTAAAATTCTCGTAATAAATTAACAAATATTATTTTAAATAGTTATTCGTAAAACTGGATGAAGATGAAAATAATTATATTACATTAGAAGAATTGTACCAAGCAGATTCAGTTTACTTCAAATCATATTTTACTGACTGTGATGATAGCTTCAATCATGACAAAATATAATTTTGTCTGATTTCTCTACAATTAACATATATTTTGGAGCTTAAAGATTTGTGTGAAAGCAGTTTAGTTTTAATAATTTTATAATTTAGCAATTTTGATCCATGTCCAAAAATTTCAGAGATACTAAAATATGAATTCTAAGAATCTGAATTAACAATATTTTCAATATCATTAATAAGTATAGACCAAGGATGTGTTATACGGGATTTGTATGAATCTCTAATTTAAATTTTTAAGGTACAGGCAAACTTCTAATTATGAAGCCAAATTAAAAATTAGAAAAATAACTTTTTATATTTATATCTCATGATTTAATAATGTGTAAAACTGATCATTGTCAACTGTTAGCTTCTTATATGAAACATTTTGATATCTTTATGGGATATGGCTGGGAGGAAGGTAGTGGAGAGTAGGGAAGTCTTTTTGTTTTAAGATTCAAATTTGCATAAACTATAACTTTAGTTAATTTATCTATATTTTCATAAATTAATGCTCTACAGTAAAAACTGAATGAGTCACCATTGCAAAATGACATTTTAAAACAAGTTATTTAGATTAATAATAAATTATTGTTTTACTTATATGTTAAAATCTTAAACTATGCAAAAATAGTCATGTTTAATTTTTGTTTATAATGATAAATCTTGTAAACTGGTGAATTAAATAAATGAGAAAATATTTCTGCTATAAAAGGCTTGAACTGAAATTATAAAATGTTTTCATATTTATTAATCTTTTATCAAACATTTATAGATAATCTGTATTGCAAAGTATTTTTTATATGTAATTACGTGAGCACTAATATCAGTAATTTAGTAAAGTGAACAATAAAAATTTTAAGCTTAGTAATTTAGTAAAGTGAACAATAAAAATTTTAGTTTTCATTATCAATTGATAAAATTGAAATAAACATGATAAAAAAACTTGTAATAAAATTAATAAAAACAGAACATATACAATAATTTGATATTTATAAATGGAAAATTGAATCAATTAAAAATATAAACTGCAAAAAATTGTAAAATGGGTAGTGATGTATACATGCTCCCAAACAGTTAAGAGTACATTGGAAATGGGGGTCAAACAGAGCTGGCCTTAATGCTTTATAATAGCATATTCTACCAGTCTGGCAACTAGTAGCAACAGTATTTCTATGTTTAATGTCTCCTTGAACTCAATATATTTGGAATTGGGCTCCAGATAATGTTCTACTATATTCATTTTTGGAAAATGATTTTTTTTTATCATCAAATTATAAAACTAAATAAGTTTATTAATCAAAACTTGTAAGTAGTGAATTTGGCTTGTTTGAGAAAAGTATTGGTAGGATTTAGCTCAGCCCATAATGACCAGCCATTCATCATTTTGTTAAAATTCAATTTTGCTTCAGGTACTGTACATACATAGTGGAAAGAAGGGATTCTCTAATTCAAGTTGGCACAGAATACAATACCACAATACTTACATATTGATTTATAAATGATCAATGGAGAGATCCAACCTCAAACTAAAAATTACTGACTTATATTCAGGCATACAAATGCCAGTTTATAAAAATTTTCTGTTTGAATANGTCGGGTTCATTCATAATTGCATAATTGTGACTAGCCATAAAGCTGAAGATATAATAGCCATGGTGTTAGCTAGTCAATTAAATTTTGAAATGGTTAATTATTTGGCTCGAAGGTAGCACGGAAAGACATTAATATTATCTTAATTAGAATTCAATCCGGACATAATTTATCATCTATGCTGGAGATCAGGACGTCATTCATTAATTTTTGTGCCGGTTGGACCCAGTTTTCATCTCCGAAATGAAGGAAATTGATCCCGGTCATACAAGCTGCCACCCGCCAAACCATAAAAATTTTAAATAAAATTAACAAATACAAAATTTTACTCGGTAAATTTCAATTTACAATGCAATTAAAAGCAACAAAAATTGTAAAAATAATTACATCCATACCTTTATTTAAAACATACTATACAGATAAATTCAACATTTTAAAATACAGTATCAAAATACAGAAGATTATTATTGCTATATGTGCTTCTTGAATAAAAATATAGTGAATATTTCATTCACACACACAGTTGAAACACAAATATAATACTGAGTCAATACATTTACTGATAAAAATAAATACCCATGTAATCAGAAACTATCCAAATATTTTTCTAGGATAATTATTACAGAACAATAATAATAATTTGGCATCTTTGTATACAAATTTAAGAAAGATCATCATTTTATAATAGTGTATGGCACAAAATGTAAAATTAAAAGTGCATTATCAAGAACATGCTGATAAATTTAACATTGGACTACAAATTAATGAAGTTTATGCCAGGTAGTTAAGAAAATTCTAAAGACTAGCTGAATATTAACCAATTTATTTTTGAAATAATTGCATTCTAAGCATTTTTAATCAGTGATTAAATGTTCTGTTAAAAAAAAAACAACAAAATTATGAAACAATTATAATTACTTAAAAATACATAGTTATACAATTTCAATTAGAAACAAACTGATTTTGACAAGAAATACTAGAATTAAAAATGAGTAAAAGCTTAGTGACAAATTACTTTTGTTCATAACAATTGAGTGTTTCAATAAAATCTCTGAGAAATATTTTTTAAACTTTGTCTTAATATTACAAAAANATTATTAAAATTTTTTTATGTTCTTGAAACCATGTCGGTGATTATTTTTGTCGTTTTGAATGCCTTATAGTTTAAATACACGAACACTAGGCAATCTTCATTTAAAATTAAAATAATTTAAAATGAAGATTGCCTAGTGTTCATGTATTTACACTATATGGTGCAAAAATGACAAAAATATTTTATTAAATGGTCAAATATTTATAAATCAAACTTAAAATAAGTAATACAAATTTGCTATATGCTAATAATTTTTAAAAACAAAACTTTATATAATGAGATGTATGTAGTATGAATCAACTTCATATATATATGGAGTGATTGAAAACTTGAGATAAAGTACCAGTAAATAAAAAAAAAAAAGAGAGATTCTAACAAAAATTGAAAAAATTCAAGTCTTGCAAGAGAAGAGAAACACTAAAAATATTAAAATTTTGTTGTTAAATATAATCTTGATGTTTTTAATTTCAAACAAAAACATATTCAGTATAAAACAATTTGTTTGAATATAATTAATTTCAGAATTAGATTATAAGAATGCATGCTAATATATAATTTAAGTATAAAATTTCAACACTATAAATCAGGCTATCAAGAAGAGCTGGGATTTTCCCCAGGCCTGAAGAAAACTTAGTTTTCTCCAGGCTTGGGGAAAATCCCATTATGGTTTCTACTTACCCCTAAAAATTAATGTTATTTTTCTAACATAAAAAAATAAAATCTTTATTAATAAACAAAATTAGTCTTATAGAAACATTTTATGTATTTCATTTGTTAAAAAAAAAAAAAAAAATTAAACAGATGCTTAAAGGAACCTGTTCTACCATGGGCTCCATATAAGCTCTTGATAGCCCTGTTTAAAATCATAACTATATTGTTTCCCTTAATTTTTAATTTGTTCCTCTAATGTTTTCAAAAATTCCAAATTTACAAAAACAATAATAAACAACAACAATCAGTTAATATCACCACACTTGTAAATACTTTACCTTATATTACAATATATATATATAAATTTATTTATAGAGTAAAAAGTTTGATGCATTCTATAAGTTAATTGAACAAACCTATTATTTTTAATTTTCAAATTTTCTTCATGAAAATATTGTTATTTGAGTGTGCTTAATATTTACCTGTATGTTTCAATCACAACACTCAAACTTTTATCATTTTATTTGTATTAAAATAACTATTAATAATTTATAAGAAAATAAAATTAGATTTTACTAAGGAGCTTTGCACTCTGCTCACTTCCTTATAAAAAATTCATCTTTCAGTTGAATAAACAGAAAAATAGAGGGATATAAATCAAGTGATTAAATTGCAGTACATAGCAAGCCTATTTGAAAAAGTTAAAAGAATTTTTAAGGATCATACTATAATGGTGGTCACAGACCAGTTAAATAGGATTAAATGGCATTTCTACATATGTAAGAATATAAGTGTTTGGGAACAAAGTAATGTGGTTTATAGTTTCAAATGCAACTGCCAACAAAAATATACTTATGTAGGAGAAACTAAGGAAAAACTTAAAATAAGATTTAAAGAATAAATAAATAAATATAATAGTGTAATTCAGCAGTTGTAAACCAGTGTAATGTACTAAGATATAAATCTGATAAAAATACTGTAAAAGTTAAAATAAAAAGAAGAGGATTCATATATAATAGTGATTTGAACATTTAGAAAATCATTAAAATTAAAAATGAACAGAAAATAAATGAAAATATAGAATTACAGATTCACAACTCCTGGTATCCATATATCTATCTCCAAAGGAGGGAGAAAGAAAAGAGATAAATCGTAAAGTTAGAAAGCTTATGTCAGCCATGAATGTTTGTATTTTTGAGAAAATTTATTCCCTTGATGTTTTAAAGTAAATACTTTTTATAAAAGTTTTAATATCATCTGGCATCTTATAGCATGCCATACAGATCACTAGTAAACAGAATGCTAAAAGACAAATGGAATTAAACCAAAGAGGAAAATAATCCAAAGTGCATATTTAACACAAATAAAGAAATTGGCTGAAAAATTGATCTGTAAACTCTAGCTGAAATTGACTGCCAATTTGATAAGTCTGAATTTTTAACTGTATTAGTGTAAATTTCTTTAAAATTTTAATAAATGATTTCTTATATTTTATTTCAACAAATATAAAAGTTAATGATAGTAAATTTTTATAATTTTTTTCCTTCTATATTCTTTTTCCCATTTTATTCAAAGTAAATTCAACAAATAGACATGCTAAACTAAAATTTCTGATCCAATGGATTTAGGATTAGAATCTATAGACAACTAATATGACTGTAAAACTTGAAAAAACTTATATATATACACATTTTATCTACAGTTATGTTAATTATCAGTTATGTTACATTTTGTTAACTTAATATTACTAATTTGATTTCAGAAACTATTATTAGAGATTATTATTATTGCTGTAATTACTATTAAAGAAATAGTTTTTCTGATAGTAATTATAACTTTCTTTTTCAATAAAATAAAGTTAATTTTGTCAGAGCCATATATGAAAGTTCTATAATTTTTATTATTACAAATATTTAATAATTGGATATTCTATAATGATGAATAATAATTTAATATCAAATTTTTAATGCTGTACTTGAAATTCTGATTTAAATTTTTGTCAATAAAAGCCTGTACAAAAACAAGAATTATTAACTTGTTAAATGCATCAATAAAAAATTATAACATTCTCTTTAAACAGAAAAATTAGAAATAGAATGCAATTTAGAAAAAGATCTTATATGAAAAAATAAATATTCAATAAAATTACAATATTGAAATAATGAGATAAAAATTCAAGCTGTTAAACTTTAGCCCCGATGAGTACTCCTGTAAATATACATGATATATGTAGTGGGCTGTACAGAATAAGCACATGCACACACACTATATATATATATATTCAGGTTTGTCTCATTGTAGTATGCTCATATATTTTACAGGCAAATGTGAAGCATTCCAACATTTATTGACAGGTTTAGAAAATTTTTTTTCATATGGTTTTTGTAAATTTCATGAGATTTAGTATAGAATTTTTTTAGAATGAAGACAAACATGGTTTCAAGTAGTTGTTCACACTTGCCTTCTCCTTCTCAATAAGGAGTTTATCAACACAATCAAACTGGAAGAAAGAAATATTATCAAGTTTATTAAAAAAAAAAATTAGGAGATATTAATTTTCTAAGTGTTACATTTCTTAAAACTAATAACTCTGAGAGGAGAGGCAGATCCATTGGTAAACCCACTCATCAAAGGGTTAATAAATGATTTGCATCTATATTCTAAAGTCAGCTTGACTACAAAGCTTTGCTCTCTTTATTTTATCAGTTAAAATATTTTTAATTAATTAGTATTACCAAAAGTGACAATATATTAAAAACTTCCCAAGTATTGGACAAAGAAAATTGCATAAAAAGTTTTTTGAAAAACTTCGTAAATATTTTTATTGATAAAAATAGAGCTCTTTAATAGATTGGATTGATAATCCAAATTCAAAAATTCTTTTACATCTTTAATATTTTAACTATATATTAAACTGAAAGTTTTATATTTAAAAAATATTAAGGCACAAGTTTTATCAAGACACTTATCTTTTTCTAAGATATAGATGTATATTAAATAACTCTTATAAATATTTAAGAAAATTTATAAATAATAATTATATTTCCATTTTTACTGTATTTTCATCTGTAGTTTTAGTAAAATATGCTATTTTATCAATCAAAACAGTATAATTATGAATCCACTTCCCACCTCTTCTAGTTTCTCCTAATACTTCATCTCTCCACATACCAGGAGGAAGATATATATCTCTTGCTTGCTTTCCTTTTTCTAATATGGGAGCTACAACTATTTTATTCCCTACTGCAAATTGATTTCCAACTTTATGAGCATTTGGATCATTAGGAGCCATCCACCACAATGGACGAATAATAGGAGCTCCAGTCATCATATATTCTTCAAGAGCTGCAGACATTATTGGTAATATCCTTTCTTTGCGAAGTAAGACTAATGCTTTAGAAATTTTTATCACATCTAAACTATATCTAGTGGGAGCAATTGAAAACTGAATAACAGGCATAAAGGCAGTCAATTGAATCCATCTAATATATAGTTCATTTTCTGGCTTAGTGTCATTAATCACATGTAAAAGATCTCCACCTACAGATCCAGGATTTACCAAAGGATATCCCAGTAGACCAAGAGTTAAAACACTAGGAATTATACTTTGTAATCCAGTTTGGTTATCCCATGTGGGAGTTCTTGGAGAAAGACTTATAAATGCAGGAATATTTTGAGTTTCAAATCCTACAGATAATCCTATTAAAGGCGATGTATTAGATATTAAATTAACAAATGATGATAAAGAAATATCTGGATTGATGTTATCTTCAGTAGATTTAGTAAAATTATAAGATCTAGGAAGAAAAGTTGATTGTCCACCTGTAAAAAAGAATCCATCAACTTCTAAATCATTTCTAATTGTTTCTAATTTTGATAACATCCATTGTGCTGAAGCATCATTTGTAATATCTAAAATAGCACAAACTTTTTTATTCCAACGAGTTAATAATGGAACATTCAGTTCTTTATCTGAAATGAAATAACTGTTATCAGTACCATTTTGAAATTGCTTAGAAGCTAGAGATGTATAAGGTTGGACAGTTAAAAGCACTTTAAATCCTTTATTATGAAGAATGCTAATTAAATCATGTGGATTAGGAAATGTATCATTTTGAAATTCTAAATCTCCTTCCTCTCTCTGCCATCTTGAATCTATAATTAGAAAACCAGCATCAAGTCCAATCTCTCTAATATGATTGGCAAATTTTTGCACAGAATCTTCATTTAATGTTGGCCCTAAATGAGGACCAGTTGTCCAAATTGGAGCTTCAAGAAATTTAATACTTGTTAAATTAGTTGGAAGTGTATAAAAAACTCTAATCATATATTCATGAAGAGATTTAATATCCAATCCAGTACACATTGTATATTCTAATTTGGGAAAGGCAGTTTCATTTAAACGATAAGGAAATCCACCAAGTTTTGCTTCTAAACACAACTGTTTAGTATCATTATCTTTTAAACTTATATATAATGGTATATTGGATTTAACTTTGATTGCAACTCCATCTGATGATAACCAATATCTTTCTAGAATACTTCCAAATTCATCTTTATAAATATCACCCGTAACAAAAGGTTTTGAGTCAATTGAGATTCTGCTAAAAGGCCAAGAAATTTGATGTAATTCTCCCATTCCATACCATGTGGCATCACCTAGATTAACACAATCTTTTAAAACTGTTTCTTTTGATAAACTTTCCCACTGAACTTCATAACAACTAAAATCATCTACATGAGTTGGACGAGATATTTTCATTCGAGCTCTGTATTTCCATTCTTCGCATACTTTTAGAGTATTATTAGGAAACAATATTCGACAATCATAAGGACCTAAAGTTTTGGGAATACCCAATCCAAGCTGGACTTCTAATAAATCTCTTTTATCTTTCTTTAAAAGTTTAATTAATCTTTTCATATCATTAAAATTAATATTATCACCAAATTCCAAAATATGGCGTTGTTGTTGATACATATACCAAGTAAATGTTACTAATGATATTATGCTTGCAAATAACAAAAGTAAAATAATTCTGAATCTGAATTCAGGACTTCGGCCTCTTTGAACAACTGCAGTTACTTTAGCAGCCTGAAAGTAAAAAAAGAAAAATTGTTATTTTTTGATAAAATTAAATATTCTACTTAACAGTGTATCTAATAATGATGGCATTAAAATATATACATATATACAAAATAAATAAAAATGGTTAAAATTACAACAAAATATCAAAATAATTAGCATAAAATATTCTGTAACGCAGAAGCACTCAATTATACACAATCTTTTACTGGTTTATAAAACTACAACTTATGTCAGTAACTTAAGATTAATTTATATTCCACCTCTTTAAATTATCATTTTATTATTTAAAAAGTTATTTTAAAATTTATGAATTTATTATAAATAGGTATAATCTTTTTATTTACAAAAAATACAAAAACTTTCTGTTACATTTTAGCTTGGATTTTAGTAATACAATGATTGTTTTGCTTACACCAGCAATAACTAATTCTGCTGAAATAATTAAACCAATTGCAATATTAAATGTAATTACTTTAAATTGTTAAACTATTCAATTAGTTCAAAAACTGTTCTATTTGTGTCTCATAATGGCACTTTAAAAAACCAAAAATATTTGTTTTAGTATGAATTAAGTGTTTTAGTCTGTTCATTTACTAGATTATTGAATGAGTTAGTATTAATATTTAATCAGTTTTGTTAGGGAGTATGCTTTTTCATTTCTCAAATAAGAAATTTAGGATTGCTTCAAAGTAATAATAATCTTCAACTTGAAAATTAAAGTTTTATCAAGATTTTAATCTTTATTAATTGAATATACTATATTTTTTAACGTGTTAATTTCTAAAATTAACACGTATAAAAAAACAAGCTGGTTATACTGCAACTAAAATATAAAATTAATCAGATCTAACAAAACTAGTTGTTAATTAAATGTTAAAGAAAATATTCTTTAACTTTAATTAAACAAAGAGTACAATAAAATAACATTGTAATTAGACCAACTTAAAATCAGGAAGACAGTTTTCCTTTATAAGACAATAAAACAATTAATGACTTCCTCTCAAATTTCACACAAAGCCCATGTTAACAGAGTAAGCTGAAATAGTTTAGAGTGAGTTTCTTAAATTTAATATGTTAATTTTTGCATTTTTGAATCAAATAACAATAAAATACTCATAAAAAAGAACTTTTGGTATTCCATGAGTATTTTATGTCATTGGAAAGAAGATAAAATGAAAAATTTAACATATAATCATAGTTTTTGATGTAATGCTGAGTTTTACAGTTTTAGAATAAAAACACATTCATTTTTACATAACATGACTTGTTCATTTTTTTTAAATGTTCTCTCTAGAATGGGATGTATAACCTAACTTAAACTGGCATGCCTATCATTCTGAGAAAATATGGTAAGAAAGCAAATGTTTTTGACAGTGTTAAATGGGCATCAGTTTACATGCAGCTGTTAAAACAAGGGAATTGTCCACATGCTAAAAGAGGGGTGATGTGAGGAAGAGGGTTGCAAAGGTTAAACTTTGTAGAATAAATTCCATGCAGGGGGAAGGAATCTACATTATGAAAGTTTATAGTGGTACTTTTTCCTCTTGGCTTCGTATATTTCTAATTTTTCTAAATATCTAAGGCATTCTTTGTGGGAGGCATGCACAGTCAAAATGTACTTCTATGTTGGGGTAGAAGGCAAAGGTAACTAATGCAGTGTTGGCCAGCCCTTCACAATGGAAGTCTGACGTTCGATTTAAAGGTCACCCTAAACACCAACATATTCTATGTTGTGGTTGGCTCTGTGATCCATAATGGAAATAGAATATATATCAGGTTGAAAGTGAATATCTGGATGGTCTTTAGTGTTGCAGAGGAAGATGAAAACTGAGGGACTAATTCTAAAAGCTAATCAGAAGTTATTTCTGTCAGTTTCCTTGCCAGTCTTGTCTTACTTGACAGCCTTGTGTAGGGTGTCATTGGAGTGATTGTTAAGTTTGACAGAGGTGGCAGAGGAAAGGCAATAAATTAGATCTTTGATGGTGTTCGAAGAGTAGCCAAGTAGTCTGGCATACTGGGCAATAGTTTGGAGCTCCTTATTCCTGTTTTGAGTGTCAGACAAATGGGTGAAAGGCTAGCCATCTTAAGTATAAAAGAATCATGGAGAGGGGCAGGAATGAAGATCGGAAGGTGTGTAGGCTTCCTGTAAAGTTTAGTTGAGATGCATCCACAGGATAAAGAAGCTGGAGGTCCAGGAAGTGAACTTCTTGCTTGCTATTCTGTTCTAGGCAAAGACAGACCATAGGGGTTGGTGTTTATTTTATGCAAGAAATCTTGAATATAGAATTTTTGCTGCCAAACAAGGAGAATATCATCAATGTAACATGCATATATGAAAATGTGGCAGTTGAAAGCAGCAAGGATGGAGGTCTCAAGCAGTCAAATGACTAGATCCCCATTTACATCTTGAGGTGCTTAAGAGGGGCTGCTCATATTTCTGGTGAAATGGATACAAATTTGGATGAATTCTGGAAACAATACACTGTTAAACATGCAATTTTCAACATTATTTTACTCTTTGGCAATGTTCCAAATAAAACACTGTCTCAAAGTTGGAACAAAATTTGGCCATCAGATGCACTTAATGGAAGTAACAGTGCTGAAAACAAACAATTACTGGACAATGTTTCTCGAATGTGTAATGACACTTTTCAAATGAAACAGGGTGGTGTAAATGACTGGCTGGATATGGATTTGGAATACAAAATTTTAAATGACAATAAAATAATAGAATAAATTACGAACAAGGATATAAACAATGATAAAACATATATAAATAGGATGATAACAAAGATAAAATATCTAATTCTCAATATTTTAATTGAAAAGAACTTGAAGAAATGTTATCAAAATGCATTGAATGGTATGAAGAGCAAAATGAGACAGAAATTCCAAACTTAATCACAACATGACATGTGCTCAACTAAGTAATCACAAGGGACAAAAAAAAATAGTTAAAAAAAAACATATGCAGTTTTTTAAAAGTGTAATATGTACACAAATATAAAGACAAAAAAACGATTACTTTAACATTCTGGCAAGATTTAATGTATGTAAGGTTTATTTTTTTCAGTTATAATCTTAGCTTTGATAAAATGCTTTTATTTTCAAAAGTTTTTTTTAAAAAAATAGGTTATAAGTTACATATTGTGTTAATTAAAACTACAAAAGTATTTCAAAATATGTTTTAATTATTGTTCCTAGAATTTTCTATAATTCATCAAATTTTCTAATTCATCACCTCCCTGGTCCCAGATGTGACAAACTATCAAGCTTCTACTGTATTTCAAAATCATATTATAGAAAAATACTGTATACAAATGATATAAAACTTAACATAATTTATAATTATGTAATATCCAGATTTATGGGGGTGCAAAAGTAGATATACAGTTGAGAATCTGAAAAATACAAATGTTTGGTATTCATTACTATATTTATTATCTTTCATATAGTTTGTATTCCTTATTTATTTGTGATTTAATTTGTATATAAAAATAAATGTTTTTTCTTCCTATTTTCCCCCCTGGTTTTTTTTCCCAAATTATCAAATGCATACCTACTTTTGCACCCCCCGTATACCAAAAAAACAATTTTTTCTATCATATATCAATAAAATAAATTAATTCCTTACTTTAGCTTGAAGATTTAATCTTAATCTATCTTTCACAGCTTGTCTAGCTTGAATTTGAGGTTTCCAAGTTGTTTCATCAAGATCTAGTCGAAGGGAATCAGAAGGATAATGAGATTTTCTCCTTATGGATGGATTTGGAGTGAGAGGTGATTGTTGTAAATTTGATGAGGGAGATTCAGTTGTTTGTGTATTATTGACTTGCTGTACAGGTGTACTGTCAGGTGACTGAATGCCACCTTCCAAAGAAAGAAGATCATCTGTACTTGCATTTGTTCTAAGATCCATTTTGGAATCTAATTTTTTAAAAAAAATGTATTAATTTAATATTTTTTATATCCAAACTGGCAAATGGCAAACATTTTAAAAGGTTTATTACTGAAAAAATAATTTATTTATAACTAATAAAATTACAAGATAAAATTCTAATAATCATAATAAGATTCTATATATAATAATATAATTTTTCTACTATAATATTTTACTTTTTATGATTTCTTTGCAGATAATAAAACACTACTACAAAAACAAACATTCATACCTTTAAATGCAGTGCAAATTTTACTTTTTAAAATGTTTTTGGTCATTTTAAATGCCCTTCCTCAGAATAAAAACCAATTGCAATTTAAAAATAAAAAATAAAAGCTGTCCTCTGGAACAGTTTGTACTTCAAAATTTTAACACTTTAGAATCACAACCGTTTATCTGCATGTGTCATACTTTTACACAGATTAAAAATATAAATTGACAAAGATTATGTATTTGAACATCAAAAATTAAAATGTACATGTCAGATTTAAATATACTGTAAGCATAAAAAAACAAGAATGATGAAAAACATGACTTTAGCAGATAACATTCAGACAACATAGTTCATGAAATTCACATAAAAAATTTGAAAATATACTGAAGAAGAATGAGAGAGAAAATGTTATATAATTAAAGTTAAAAATTTGGTTGACAATATTTACATTAAGTTAATTAGTAACATAATTATTTTTTTCTCAGTTTTGTTTTATTATATTTTATTTTTAATTACTGTTAAAAAATAGTTTTATGGAATTGTCAGAATTTTGGAAAAACTTCGAATAAAAAAATCTTGCTTTGAAGGTGATTAATTTATAACATAACATATTATAACATAATTTATATTATAACATTAACATAATTTATAACAACACACTTATAACATAAAAAATAAACAAAAGTAAAATTTGTTTATTTTTGGTTGCATTTCCCTATCCCTATTTACTCTATGTTAAAATGACTTTGTTTAACACTGTTTCGCTTAGCGCTTTGTTGTCTAGGAATGCATCCCCCACGTTAAGCGGGGTCTTACTTTATATTTATAATCTGAAATAAAATTTTATAAACTTCATTTATAAAATTTTAAAAATTTAGTAATTTTTATTATTAATATATGAAGATATTTATTTCAAAAATTCTCAAAAAATTTATAATAAAAAGTAGTTCTTACTTCTTCATACTTTAATACAATACAAAAATAAATATATTAGAAGTTGCAGTTAATTAAAAAACAAAGAAAAATTAATACTCACAAAATAATTGATACAAATAAAAAACATAAAGCAAGTTAAAATGAATATCAGTATGAAAAGAATGGAATTAGAAACTTAAATAATTACAATTTTAGGAAAAGAGTTATGTATTGAATCTCATTCCATAAAATCACAGTCCATGTAACTTAATTCAGTCCATGTACTTAAAAATTTTTTATATCAGGATAATTTCATCTATATTTCAATGTTCTCATATTCAAATTTAATAACCAATATTCATAATCTGTTTGATGATGATAAATAAAATTTCTGCATAAAATAAATTTTACAAAATGAAACTTAATGGCTTCTTTCCTCATTTATAATTTCAGTTGATCTTATAAAGAGTTCCATATTGATGGAACAGATTCCAAAACAAGCCTCACTACAGCATTACAAAAACAGAGCATTTAAAAAAATCATTACAAGATTTAAGAAATTTCTTTAAAAACAATCTTCTTTATGCATTAATTATAACTATCCAAATATGAAAAATGAAATTCAAACTGGAAAATAATTAAAAAATATCATGCAAAATATATTAATTTAGAAAATATAATAAAAAATAATTACATTAAATGGAAATGTAATTTTAATTCATTCATTTATTAATTAATTAATTAAATAGTAATTAAAAAAATTGTTTTAGTAATTTGAAATTACATTATTAGTCTAAAAAAGAAATAGTGGTATATTGTTAACTTTAATGATTAAGCAGATAATTAAATTTTAAGGAATTTAATTTTGAAACATGTATTTTCTCACAAGTGACAATACAGGAAATCCAATTATACATGTTAATAAAATCAACACAGTTTCCTTTCTATTTTATATAAAAAAATTAGTTTTTACTTTGAAAGGGTTTCAGAAATACAACTTAAAGCTTATCATCACAAAAAACAAAAAAAATCCATCATTGTACAATAATGGGGAGGAGAGAGGTGGTTGAGATATGTCTACATGGACATTCTTTAGTAGTATTAATGGCATACAAATTTGTACAATCTTATTTACTAGTCATGCAAATAAATTATCAGTTAGAAAATACTTTCAGATCTTTCTAAAGTCATTTCTTCAATAGGAGGTCCATGATTACATACTGTACATGCAATTAGGAAAAGTCAAAAATGGCTCAAAAACTGTACATGTAATTAATAGATATACCACATTTTAAAATTGTTTAAACAGATGTCTCTAGCAGCTCTGTTTCTGTTTTCTTCAAAAATAATAATTACAATATAGGCTATATATTTTTTTCTCAACCTTAGATGGAAAAATTATCCATAGGCAGAGTTCTATACTTCCCTCCTTTTTCTAATGTTCAAAATATTTTTTCTAAATTATGTTTTTTAGTAAGAAATCACAACAACAAAAATCCTGAAAAAAATAAAAAAAAGGATAGAACACTTTAATAAAACTAACATTTTCAATCAACTTTATCAGTCATTATCAGGTTATAATGAAAATACCATCAAACATAAAACAAAATATATAAATTTGATAAAAAAGAATGATCATTCAATTGGAAGTTGCTGTTTGCATCATCACTTGCATATTAATTAAAGAGCTTATGATTTTCCAAAAATAAATTTCCAATTGTGTCTGTTTCTTTATAATTTATAGCTGATGCATTTCTACTAGCCTTATAAATTTAAATTCTCTCAAGGTGTTTAAATTGAACTTTGTCCTGGGTGTGATGGAATAGATGTGCTCTGTCTAGATGGATTTACTCTTGATGATTGGTATGCTGCTAAAGCCATTGACCAAGACTCTTCTTAATAGATTTATGTTCTTATAAATGTAGTTCAAGGAGAATACCATTGTTCCTATGTACTCCAACTTACTATTGACTCTTATTATCAAACACAGAGATGTTGTAGACCCCATTATCCCTTTTGGTGTTGTGATAATTTCCTACTTATTTATCCAGTTCCTTTGTTTTTTTAATGATCTTTAGTTTTAATACAAATTTCTCGAGTCAAGTTGATCAAATAATTATGACCGAGTAATTTTTGCTTTTTGCAGTTCAATTCAAATTATTTTTGAAGGACATTAAGCTAAAGCCAAATTAATTTGTTGTTGTTTTAAAATATTGTCAATGTTCCTCCAATGTTTTTCTTAAATATGTAGTGTTCCTAATATATTCTACTTTATGCTATTATCTGCTTTGTTATAGGGTGAAATTACATACTCTTAGAACATTTGCTTTTTGTCATTGTGAGAATCTAGAAATAATCTCAAATTATTTTTTGGGACTTTCAGAGCAAAAATCTTTCTAGTGTGAATTAATCAAAAATTATTTTATTAAGTATCAACTTTGACAAGGAAAACAATTTTGCTAGATAAAATGTATATACAATGTATTAAGAAATATATTTAATATTTTTTTCATTAATTTATAAATTTATAATTTATACATTTGAGTACATACATCAGAACATGTATTGAAAAAATACTAATTTTGTAACTTAATTAAACAGAACAGTATAACATTAACACTATGTTATTGATAATCATTTACATTTTGTGAAAAAGCACAAAAACAAAGGTTTTACATAATTACAATTTAAATGAATTAAAACAAAGAAAAACTTCATATATATATAATCTTTAAGAATTAAAGCAGATTGTGTAAGTTCACTCAGAACAGTTTAATTCTCAATGAATAAATTTTAAAATCTCTGGAGAAATTATATCTACCAATTCAGTAAAACATATTTTCTAAGATCCAAGCTAAACATTTTTGAACAAAAATGACAAAAAAATCATGTTCTAGAGTTTTCAAACAAAAATGATCATTAGAACTGGCAATTTTTAAATTAATCCAGTTTACGAATTGTAGAAAACTCATCATCAGCAAGTAATGACAAAAAGTTATTATATTTACAAAGTTCTACAAACTTCAACAGTTTATCTCAGTAGGAGATAAAAAGAATCCAGAAGAAGTAAAATGTTTAATCAGCATTCCAACAGCTTACAATGCAACAATTCCAAAATGTCAATTCACAGATGACCAACATAACTTACCAGTTAGAATATACCTTGTCACCATTGCATCATATTTTATATACAATGACATATTAATATATTATTATAAAACTTTACAAATTCAAACAATACTATTACTTGCATTCAAAAGTAATTTTAAACGATGACAATTCACTTTTTTATTAAATTTAATATTTACAGTTTTGATATTTTTGTAGAATGCAATTCCAGGACACAACATGATTGTGCAAATTAGTTAATAAACTGGGAAATGTTGAGACAGCTGTTGAAATCTAACAAAATAACCTGAAAACTTAAGATTTACCTAAATAGGTTTCAGATGTGTTATATTGTAATCGTATAGAAAATTTTGCATAAAAGTAAAAATGTATTATTATTTTCCTACCTGGATATTTATTTAGATTATTGTTTCCCAATTTATCAATTCTCATACTAATGGAATATTTCGTTGCTCTATACGAACATTCACGGAGAAAAAGTTAAATTTACTGAAAGAGAAAGTATGATAACCTTTTAATTGAAGAATAATTCCACTTCTCGTTTAAATCACCAAATCACCGCCATCTTGTTTACTTCCCCACTTCCGTTACTTAATAGCCTCGACATGAAGTTTGGAATAAATAAAAAATAAAGGAGGAAATCCTTTTTTTATGATTAATACTAAAGTTATTTATTTATTTTTAAAATCAATTATAATTTTATAATTTTACCATAATATAAAAAAATCTTTATTATTATCACAAAAAAACTTTGTATTGAGATATTACTGTCACATTTAAATGAAATATGGGGAAGAGTTGCCAACTGGAGAAAATTTCTTCGGGGGACACGCTAGTAAAATATGGGAAATTTTCATCGAAAATTCCCCATTTTGCAGGAATTTCATATAAAACAATTTATTTCTTAAACATGTATTTACTTTATCTTTTAGCACCGTATATATATGGCCAGATTGCCGAGCGGTCAAGGTGGCAGCCTACCACTCTGGGTACCCGGATTTGATTCCTGGTCCCGGAGGGTGATCCCGTTCGGATATGTTGGGCTTCGTCCCTCACCACCCGTCCGCCCCATTGTGGGCCTGGCCGAACCCATAATAGGCTTGCTAAAAGAGGCCCTCTTGTGCCCATAGAGCGAAAAGAGATAAAAAAAAAAAAAAAAACTGTATATATCTATTGACAGGATTCCTTCGAATTTAATAAATAGTGAATTGATAATTAAGTTAATTTCACAGAACGACTATTTCGGTTTTTCGTCCAAAACATGGTCATAAGAGCATGTTTTGGACGAAACCCTTTCTACAAAAGCATTAGTAGCTGAAATACTCTGACAAAACGATAATAATTTGACTAAGTTTGGCAATGATTTAGGCTTACTACAATTCAAAATTACATAGGAAAATTAATTTTTATAATCCATCATGGCGAGATCAATTGTTGCATTCTACTTTGCATATAAAATGAGTGTTCTCGACTATCAGTAAATTACAGTTTATGCATGTATTTTGAGTCTCACGATCTTTATTTTTGTAATGTACAGGTCTGCTTCAGGCCTGCAAATTAACTGAAAATGTTTGTTCTATGATTAAGTTATTGCTGGAAAAGTACAGAAGAATGTCTTTTTGACTTTATCGTCAAATCTCAGGTTATTTATAAAAAAGGAATCTGAGTTGACTACTTTTTGGTTACTTGAATTCTTTTCGGAAAGCTAAAAATATCTGGCGACGCTGTAAGCTTTTTGAAAGCAAGTCCAAATCTGTATACAAGTAACGGTGTGAATCCTTATGTGATCAGTGATTGATTAAGCTAACTTCGCTTGTCTATCACATGTCCATGGTCCACATCACACTTACATATATTTCATTTCCAATAAATATGTTTTTATAAAGTTTTTTTTAATAGTATTGTTTAAAAATTGCAGGATTTCGTTCGAAAATGCATGACAGTCCAGCACAATGGGGGATAGTTGGAAACTCTAGGCAACAGGGTAGTGAGCAAGTTGCCAGATTTTTTTTATATTTTACTATAATTTCACCAGATGTTTAATTTAAAAATTACTACATTTCACCATTGTAAACACAATATCTAGGGTTAAAATATGGATCTATTCCTCATGTAGCGTCCATCTATTCGTATGATAAAAAATACTAGTTGTACAAATCTACAATGGAAAGTAGTAGTAGTAGTACAGTACCTTTCAGTTTGATTGAGAAAATTACTGCACAACAAAGTGCATCTTAGAGAGAAGTTTCTAAAATTTCTCATTCTAGAAATGCATTCTAAAGTTTGAAGGTCTTATACATCTTTTCCCTACTACTACTACTACTACTACTACTACTACTACTACTACATGGGAAAAGATATAGCCTTACTAATGCATCTTTTTTCATCCTTCACCAAAGGAAAAGAGAAAGTTTTTTTAAAATATGAAAGCTTTAATGTATTTTCTAAAATGTATTTCATCTCTATAAGACAAGTCCATTTCATTCTAAATGTATATGTTTATATATTTTCTATTTAAAGAACAATAACATACTACAGATTTCACTGCTTTTGTTAATAATATATTTAATTTTTATTAATTTACTTTTAAAATAACAAAACTTCCTTAAAAAGAAAATATTTTAATAATAGAGAAGTTTTTAATAATAAAAGTATTTTAAAAATTATAGACTTAATTTACAATAATAAAAATCTTTAATTATGTGTTTATTACAACCTCATCCATTTTACACATTTATTAATTTAGTTTTAAAAAAATCCTCTGTGAAAGACGACGGAAAACATACAGTGCTCTCTTAAGCGAACTTGACTGTATATCTAAATAATATATCTAAAACTAGGAAGAATGAAGAAAAGTAATTAAAATGAGAAACTATTTAGTAACTCGAAAATATTCGAAATTTAGTAACTCCAAATCGCGAATTAAACATTTAATTTGAGTAATTTTAAAAAATGCTTACAAATTTTACTTTATTTAACTCTTTAATCGATATAAGAAAAATAGCAATAAACGATAGATAAGTTAAAAGAAAATAATAATCCGATTATAACGGAAACAAATAATTCGTTTAATTAATAGGAAATCTTCTGTTGTTTATTTGGCAATTTGTGGCTATTAACAGTTTTCATGACAGTTTTAATACCCTGCTTTCACATTACGTATGAAAAGTTTGAATCTATTATATACCTTTTTATAATTTATAAAATCTTAACACATTCTACACATTATTGAGAATACCTTGGAATCGTCGCGGAGATCACTGCGTGACCCGCGGGTCACAGGTTCTAGGTGATATTTAATTGTAAAAAGCAACAATTTTAAATACTTCTTAAATTTGAATACCACATTGACAATCACTTTAATAGAAAACATGTTTGCAAAATGGTAGCTGATATTTTACCATTAACTATTACAGCATTTGGCTATACAATAGCTTTATTCCAACTTAATAGCCTCGACATGAAGTTTGGAATAAATNATCCCTGCTCTCTTCTATGTTCAAAAACATTTAATTAAAAAGTATTATAATATAAAAGTAGAAAAAGATTAGTTTCCTAAAAATGAAGAATTATTAAATAAGTTTACAGGCTTTTTCCTATATAGCTTTAACATTATCATTGTAGTAAGTTAAAAAAAATGAACAAACATTATTTTAAAAACATTATTAGTTATTGAGTAAGTTTAATTAGAATATTAGCGAATAGAGTACGATAGATAGAATATAAAAGTAGATTTATAAAATATAAGAAGTTACACCTATTTCTCTTTTTATGCAAAATAGTTTTTACACGGGTAAAAAGAGATTTTTTGAAAATTTTTAAATTCAACGTTTTGTTAAAATTGTGTTATTAGTAAAAAAGTTACTTTTTGAAATCGAGTTCATTAATTTTTTTAATTAAGCACAGTACAGTACAGTACAGTACATCAGAAAATACTGTATGCTGATTTTATGTTTCCTATGCTACCTTGTGTTTACTGTATTTACCTACAAACAAATGTTAATGATAAATGATGCTAGAATAAAAAAGCTCATGTTGCTTTTGTAAATTTTCATTCCATTGAAGTTCTAGATCCTATCAAACATTTTTCTACAGGATGCACGTTTTGTATTTTTATACGCAATGTTTGTTTTACGCAACGTTCTTTAAAACGTATCCACCGCATCTATCCAATGTTTACTTATAAATATAAATGCGAAATAAAACTCGATAGATACTTATTTCGTAAGAAATACAATTATGCAAAAAATATTTAAAACTTGGTAAAAATAAGGTAAATTATAATCTTTCTTAGTTATTTTAAAAGTTATATTTTTGTATGTATATAAAAGCGCTAAAATATTTTGAATATCACACTACTAATTCTGCTTTCATTTGTCTTTTATGTACAGTACTTAGTTATAAAAATGAAATTGAATATTTGAAACTTATTAAGTGTGCAAGTATAAAACCACAAAATTGGAAATAACTTTTATTTTTAATTTTAAATCTTTAAAAATTTTATATAAAATATTTATCAGTTAAAACATACTAAACGTATTTATATAAAAATTTATATTACAAAAGTATTTATATAACAACTTAGTATGAAATTCATTACTGAAATGTTTGCAATTTTTTAAATATATCAGATCTCTTTTGATCAACCACAGCATGAACTGACTGCTTTTGCTTATCTTGGTTGTATAAAAAAAAATCGTGAAAGAGCAACAAATTAAGCTGTTTTCAAGCCTCATAACGCTTTTTACTTTCTTGAATTAGATAAATCCGCATGAGGTATTAATAATGGTTTTTATCGATTTTCTCATCTCTTATACGTATCTGATATTGTATGTAGTTATTTAATTTTGTTGTTGAAAAGATAATTTATAGACTTAAACTCAAAAAATAGGTTAATCGTATTAAAATTAAAATTTGAAGTAAATATTTATAAATTTTGTTAAGTAATTATTTTTATTCTGTCAAAGATCTTTTTCAATTTTAACTTCAGACACTTATAATAATAAGTCTCTGCTTCCGTAACACTTTACAATGTTTTATTTTAAAAAGTGATTAAAAGGAAAATGCAACAAGTTCATATATCAAATTCTGAAAAATATGAATAAACTTTTNAATGCAACAAGTTCATATATCAAATTCTGAAAAATATGAATAAACTTTTCGAACATTTATTTTTAAGCTCTAATATAATTGGAATTGAAACTTCAAAAATAAAAAAAGTAGGGATTAAGTAAAGAGTAAGAAATATTCTCTTACTTTCTAGTGTATTACAGTACTATTTTATATAAGCCTTAAATAGAATTTTTTTTTTTTTTTGGTGATTTTAGTCCCCTTACCGCTCAGAGAGCACAACAGGCCAAAACCTTAAATAGAATAGGGAGCCATAGGTTATATTTTAAAGATGCTTTTCAAAGATATAAAAATCAATTTCAAAATATTATCGATTCACATTAAAATATGACACAAAAATGCACAATAAAAATGATCTTTTATAATGTAAATTATCTATTATTATATTTATACTACATATTGTATTGAAGTGGAATTGGATAAATGTTGGTCTTGTGTTCAGTACAGATAAGATAATAAATTTATTTAATTGTG